AAAATTTAGATTTAAGAGGTGGCTATTATAAAACTATTCTAGCGCTCCAGGGAGCTCTATTTGAATTTATTTCACTAAAATTTTCTACTTCAGCAAAGAATAAGGCATCTATGTGAACACAGTATTGGTTCTCAAAATTTAACAGCTCTTTTCTTTTTTTGTACTGGGGATGCACATGCTAGGCCAGGGCTCAACCATGGAGCTCTTTCCTTCCTTTCTTCCTTCTTTTCTTTTTCTTTTGAGTCCAGGTCTTTGATAAGTTGCCCAGGCCAGCCTTAAACCTGGGATCCCCCTGCCTCAGCCTCCTGACATAGCCAGAATTATAGGCGTGCACCACTGTGCCCAGATAAAATTCGACATTCTGATGGGTTTTCTTGTTAGATGGAATAGAGCAGCTTCCCTCACCCCATCTCTAGCTAGCCTGTACTTCCAGTCAGTTACTGGGCGGGAGGGATTTGAGCCTGGGGTCACAAATACCAATTTTTAACATGCACGCCCCAGACAGAGATATTGCGAGAATGCGTCTTGCTATGCGACTGCAAGTCCTCTGCAAGGCCAGGTTTCTTCTGGCCACTTGACATGGGGGTTGGACTGTACACGTTGACTTGGGAGGCCTGATTTCTCATTGCAAGAAGATATTAAAGCCAGGTATGATGGCATATGACTGCAATACATCAACCTGGGAGCCTGAGGCAGGAGGATCGCAAGTTCAAGGCCAGCCTAGACAACAGCAGCCTACCTCAAAAGAAGAAAATATTAATAATACTAACTAATGGAATATTTTCTGTTATTTTCTGTTATTATTCTAAACACCTTACGTAAGTCCATTCATTCAATCCTTCTAGCACTGTTATTATTCTAAACACCTTACGTAAGTCCATTCATTCAATCCTTCTAGCAACCCTGTGAAGAAGCTGTTGCTTTAATCTTCATTTGTAGAGGTGCAAGAGGTTAAGTACCTTGCTCAAGTTACAGGGGGCAAATAGTGGGGCCAGGATTCAAATCTTGGCTACGGGTCCTAACCTATTTGCACAGGCTGGACACAAGTCCAATAATTAGTCCAGCATTAAAACCAGCTCTGTTCTGGGCGTTCACAGGGCTCACTCAGCCCAACACAGGGAGCTGTCTACTCTCCTCCCTCCCTGATCAATGAAGCAGGGCCCTGTGTGGAATCACTGTGCTGGAATCAGTTCTGAACATCTGCGCGGGTACACAGGGTGCCACCCATCTGCCCAGGGGCATGGATGAGCGACACCCAGTTTCTTTTCAGGACAAAGGAGATAATTTCAAGGGGAGGCTCTTTTCAAAATAATAACATTCTGACTTTGTATATTTTCTTTTCTTTTAAGACAGGGTCTCACTCTTTAATTCAGGCTGGCCTTGAACTCACTATGTAGCCCAGGCTGGCCTTGAACTCATGGGCAATCCTCCTGCCTCAGCCTCCTGACTACTGGGATTACAGGCACGCACCACCACACCCAGCTGACTTTGTATGTTTAACAAGCACTGCATGTACCTTTGAATATTTAATTGCTACACTGGCATTGTCACTGTCATCTTGGAGTGGAGGACTCTGAGGGTTCAGAGTGTTCGAGATGTTAAGTACTTCGCCTGCAACTATCACCCAGGCTAAGGGAAAGGAACAGTTACCGTGCCCAATGAATTGCCTGGTGCCTGTTGAACAATTTATATGGTCATCTCACTCAAACCCCAAAACATTTCTAACAGTCTTCAGATGCATGAACTATTACTTTCCCTCATGATTAGCTTTGGAGAGATTAAATTGTCTGAGGCTACACAGCTCATAGCAGTGGAGCTGGGCTTTTGACAATTATATCGGTATGTATGTAGAATGTACATACAAACATTTGCATCCCTAGAACTGCAAAATTGTTTCATTAAAAACTAATATTTATAGTAGCTTTGGAGTAGATGAGAGATATTTTTATACCCATTCCATAGCTGCACAAACAGGTTCATTTCGGCAAAATAGCCTGATAACAGTATGATGCTTTATCATACCCCATTCATTAGGCCAAAATAGCCTGACAACAGTATGATGCTTTATCATACCCCATAGGGTCCCACAGTCCTGTCAAATATTGAGGGAAATCCTTATTAGGGATCTGTATTTAACCCTATAGGCACTACATCAGTGGTAGGTAGCACTGTATTGATAAGGCTCTAACAGGAAATAGAAATTAGTAGTGTTCAGAAGACAGGTACTACGACCCAATGAACTGGTTACACAGATAATAGAAGAATGGAGATGCCAAGCAGGGAACAAGGAGGCAGCAGAGAGCTTAGGAAGCTCCCTAGGAGAGATAGAGGAGGTTTATCTGTTACCTGAGCTCAGATACCAGATCACCTGGTAAAAGCTAGACCCATGGACATCTGTATAGGACAAGGCAAAGCCACAGAGTTCGAAGCTCCTGTTGTTAAGACACCTGACGGATGGGTAGAAAGGGGGAGAAATACTCTAGTTTCTCTCTTCTCTCTGTCTCTGATGAGTGCTGCCCACGGGGTAAACCTAGCTGGGAGACAGCTGATAGCTGAGCCTGGGAAACTGACACGGGGTCAGCCCTGACTTTACACGGAAACAGACAGCAAAGCTGGGAAAGGTGAGGAAGGAATCTGAAGGCACAGGCCACAGACCCGCCTGGGCATTCCATCTGTACTCAGCGTCGCCATTAACCCCAGGAGACCAAGAGAACATTAGTTCTTTGTCCACAAGAAAGCCTGCAACTGCAGATAACTGCACTGTTAGAACCATATAACCTGCACCAGGCGGAGACTACAGGCAGGATCTGGCTGGGACAGGCCCCCGGCAGGGCTTGCGAATATCTTTAGTCAGCTGCCAACCATTTTTACCATTGTGGTTGTCCTACTCAAAACCCGCAACTTCACTCCTAATGCGCCTGTACTTTCCTTACTTATTCTGCCTTTCCTGCTTGCTTTACTTTTTCTTTCTCCTTTTTTTTGGTGGTGGGGAGGGAACCTAGAGCCTTGCACGTGTTAAATGCTCCACCTCCAAACGACATCCCCAGCCTTACTTGCTTTTCTTCCCAGCACTAATCACCACCTGATACACGACACATTAGTTCTTTGTCCATTACAGTTTACGTCCACTAGAACATAAGCTGTATGAGGGCAGCGATCTGTTGGTTTTGTCCATTCTTTATCTCCAGTGCCTAGAAGAATATCCAGCCCACAGTTTGGCACTCAAAAAAAAATAACCAGTTCTTTGTGGAATCAATTTTAAATTGGGAAATTTCACACCAAGAACTTGAATCTCTGGCTTTCCTTACAAATCTGGCAACACTGGCTGGTGGGTGACACCACTAGGCCGCAGTGACTGGTGGGAGGCATCCTTTCTGGAGGAAGATGGGAGCTCTCTCTCCAGTTTGCCTCAGTCTCCACCATGCCTTATCATCCAGAACTGCCGGCTTCATTCTTTTTCATTATCTGCCGGGCTGCTGTGGGCACTGAATGTGTCACCCTCGATCAGGGCTCAAGCAGCTCATTCTACTTACAGCTGGGGAAACAGGGACAGATGAGCGACCGACCATTGTGGGGTAGAAGAGCCCAGTGTAGAGTCGAGGGCTTTTGCGCCATAAGCGCTGTGCTAAGTTCCCGAACCTGGTGCCCGGGTAACGTGGGCCTTTCACAAATGAGAGGCTGCGTGCTGGGAGCTCCTGTACAGCCTCACTGTCCTAAACACCTGTCTGCAGGGAGAACATAACTGAGTGGTCCACTGCTTGTGCTCGGGGAGGCACCCCATCTGCCCGTGTTACCTCTGATGTAAAGTTGGGGAAATCCAGCAATTATCCCTCCTCACTCACTCTAGCCATGCTACTGGTCGAAAGGAACTGCAGCCCCGGGCCTTTGCACGTACCCTTCGCTCTATGCTGGGCTCCTGCACACCCAGAGGCCTAGTTCAGGAAGCTCCTCCGGTGAAGGCTCCCTCACCCCCAGCAGAACTGCCCGTTCCTTCCCCTGCCCCACCCAGCCCAGGTCTAGGGTCAGTTCTACCTTATTTGGGAGGTTTATTTATTTATTTTTTTGCCAGTTAGGGCTCTGTCAGTCATTTCTGTAATGGTGTCCCTCAACAAACAAAAAACCCCCGATCAGTGGCTTAAGGGAGAGTGCATTCAACAGGCGGTGTCCAACTCGCCCGGACGGATCCTCTCCTCAAGTCAGCTTCTCCTCCGCCCCTCCGCAGCACGGACCTCTCCTTCCCCTCCTTCCCAGCCCCGCAGGCTGGGCGTAGTAGGCCGCGATCACCCACCAGCCAGAAGCCTCCGCAACTTCGGGGTCCCACTACCACCACACCTTTCCCCCATAACTCGCTCCGGCCGGACCAGGGGGAGCGCGGCGCGTCCCCCTTCGGGTCCCCAGCAACCCCGCGGGCCTACCTTGCCCCCGGTGCTGAGGACCTGCCACGGCCACGTCTCCACGCTCCCGAACAGCGAGTTCTTGATCATGCCCAACATGTTGCCGCTGCGATCGCGACCCACCACGGGCGGACTGGGGTGCAGGCGAGCGCGGGTGGGGACTCGGGTGCCGGCGAGCGCGGGAGTAAGGCAGCCGGGAGCGGGGCGGGGCCGCCGCGGGCTCCGCCCACAGGAACTGCTCTCGGCGGGGTGGGCGGGGCGCAGCGCGGGCTCCGTCGCGGTGGGCGGGGCCGTGGGCCGGGCTGCTGCTGCTCCAGGCTTCTCTCCACCCTTAATCTCTCAGGTAGAGGGTTGAAAAAACCTCTTGTCTAGTTTCTCGATGTTTGCTTTCCGACCATACGTATGTTTTGTTTTTTTTTGATGCAGGGTCTAGCTATGTAGCTCAGTCTGGTCTTCAACTCACTATCCTCCTGCCTCAGCCTCCCAAGTGCTGGGATTACAGTGGTACAATCCGTTTTAACCACAGATTCCACCATCCTTCCAATCCAGTTTTGCTCATTCGCTTCTATGCATAGCCTTCTAACCAGTTGTATTATCATGTATTGTGTGCTCCCAGCCAAGTTTACATCACTAAAGTATTTTATAAACTAATCTATAGAGTAGGAAATAGAAGCCCAAAATAAATAACTTCACAACCAGTGCGAGACTTGTCTAGGATTTGAACTCATGCCGGTGGTGTCAATGTCCGTAATGCTCTGATCACACCCTGTCATGCTGAGCTTTGACAGACGATCTCCACGTCTGCATCTGCATCTGCTTTCCAAATATTCTTTGTGTGTTCCCCTCTGTGCCGCACGGCTCCTTCAACCTGGACAGCGTCCCCTCTCACTCATCTCTGGGTGTTTGGCTTCCTTGAAAGCACATTTCAGCCACTGCTCTGTGAACGCTGTATGCCCCCTTTGTCTTAGTATTTGCCCACATGACGTTTGCCTGTGCACTTTTAACCCATTGATTTAGTGACGCAAATGTGGCTGTCGTGTGAACTTGGTAACTGAATTACTTGTGGGATTTGTGGAGGCCTCTCTGAGCCAATCTGAGGGACCTCCTGATGTCTCTGCCGGCTGAGAGCCCGATCCAGGCAGAGACAATCAATAACGGAGGTACTGCTGACCTCTAGTTTAGTGGGAGCAGATATTAACTTTATTAACTGTGCATAAAAAAGATTTACTTTCTGACAAACAAATGCTTATTCATTGCTGTAAAGTAAATCGCCACTTAATTATTTCATGCTTTCTTGACTCTAACATGTCACGGACTGTAAGAGGCACTGCTATCTTATGGACTGCAAAGAAAGAAAACAAATACTACCAACTATACCATTCAACTGATTTTAAATGCTTCCAGAAACATTAAAATGTGAAATGGCATTTTGTTATTATTTTCACTTTTATAATTGGTTGTATGTGTTAATGGGCTTCATTTTGGCAGATTCTCTCATGCACGTAATATAATGTGATCATTTTCACCCCTTTCTGTTACTCTGTCCCCAGCCCTCACCGCTCCAGTTTCACATTTTGGGGGGGCTTCAATGTGCATAGTATAATTTACTCATATCCATCCCCCATTACCCAGCCTCACACCCCTCCTCCTCCCTCTTATTCCCCACCTTTGTCTAATAATAGCTCCTCCTCTACTTGTCACCTTTTAAGATTTCACATATGAGGGAGAAATTAAAAATTTGTCTTTCTGAATCCAGTTTATTTCACTCCGCAACATGGTCTCCAGATCCACCCATTTTCTTTGCTTTTCTTTTTCTTTTTCTTTTCTTTTCTTTCTTTCTTTCTTTTTTTTGTTTGTCTTTTTGAGACAGGATCTCGCTATGCAGTTCAGGTTGGCCTTGAGCTCACTTTGCAGCCCAGGCTGGCCTCGAACTCACAATGATCCTTCTGCCTCAGCCTCCCAAGTGTTGGGATTACAGGTGTGTGCCACCACACCTGACGACACCCATTTTCTTGCAAATGACAGAATTTCATTCTTCCTCATGGTTATATACTATATTTTATATATCTATCTATCTATATCTATCTATCTATATATATCACAGTTTCTTTATCCATTCCTCTATTGATGGGCATCTAGATTGGTTCTATATCTTAGCTATTGTAAATTATACTGCAATAAATATAGGTATACAGCTATTTCTGACTCTAATTCTTCAGGTATATACCAAGCAGTGGTTGTTTTTGGTTTGGCTTGTTTTTGGTCCTGGGATTGAACCCATGACCTTGCACATGTTAGCCACACTCCTAGCCCAAGAAGTGGTATAACTGGATCAAATGGTAACTCTATTTGTACCTTTCTGAGAACTCTATTCTGTACCTTTCATCCTGACAACCACAGTGGCTGTCCTAACTTACATCCCTCTCAGCTGTGTAGAAGGGGTTCCCTCTCTATCCTTGCTAGCAGTTAGTTTTTGTATTCACCCAGCCATTCTGACTGGAGTGAGATGGTATTTCAATATATATATATTATATATATATATAAAATATATTAAAAAAATATATATAATATATATAAAAATATATAATATATATATTTTTGTTTGTTTGTTTTTTGTTTTTGTTTTTTTTTCTGATACCGGGAATTGAACTCATGACTTTGCACTTGCCAGGCAGGCACTGTGCTGCTGAGCTAAATCCCCAGCCCCCTCAATATAATTTTAATTCACATTTCTCTGAAATAGCCTTTAGCTTATAGTTCATAAAAGATGGCTATCACTTTGTAAGAGTCCTGAGTATTTTTTTCTGCTCATAGGCTGTCTCTCGCGTCATGTCTGTCTGGTGCTGGGAATTGAACCCAGACCCTCGTGTCCCCCGCCTAACCGTGTCTGCTTTCTTACAAACTAATCTCTTAAAGGATGGAGGAAAGTGTAAAGTTTTTTTCTCTCTTTTAGGTATGTTAAATGAAAAGTATAGGAAGCCATTGTCTTGGATGAAACACTTGCACTGGGCCTAACAGAATGGCTAAAACTGAAAAGGGAATCGTCCATGCTAAATTCCACGTCACCAGCTGAAACTGAGCTGTTTATCTGACCTGAAAAACCAGGGTAAGAAACAAAGGTTGCTTTATCCCTGGGTGCAGTGGTGCACCCTTGTAATCCCAGCATTCTGGCTGAGGCAGGAAAATAAGTTTGAGCCTACGCTGGACAGCTTAGTGAGACACTGTCTCAAAATAAGAAATAAAGGGCTGTGGATGTAGCTTAGTGTGAAGGCCCTAGATTCAATCCCCAGTGCCTCAAATACAAGTTCTTGTCATCCAGATACAGCCTCACAGGTAACAAGTAACAGTCATCCTAAGACCAACTTTGGCCAGATGTCAGACCCCCGATCTCTTTTTCCTGTGAAAAGATCTTTCCTAGGTGGATAGCAGGAGGTGTATCACATAGAAAAGCTTCTTTCCACAATGCTGTTTACTGATGCAGAAGGATGCAAAGTTCTAACTCAGAAGTTCTACATCCTGGGTAAAAAGGACATGCTCTCAACACTCTTGTTCATGGTGCCAAACTACAGAACTTAATGTTTGCCCTCCAGGATTTTGGGCTTGCTTTGGTCCCATTCCTTTATATTCCCGTTTGTAACCTTTGGAATAAAGATGTTTATCTTGTGCCATTAAAGGTTGGAAGTGTTTAACTTTTCATTTGTATAGGAGCTTGCAACTAGAGTTTGCCTTGTTTTTTTTTGTTTTTTTGTTTTTTTTTTTTTTTAGTTTTTCTCCGGTACCGGTAACTGAACTCACCACCTTACACTTGCCAGGCAGGCACTTTTGCCGCTGAGCTAAATCCCCAGCCCCTAGAGTTTGCCTTGTATCTCTGAGGAGACTTGGACTTGGACTTTTCAGCAATGCTATGGCTATTAGGACTCTAGCAACTCTTGCAGATAAATGCTTTTTGAATAAAGGGATATACATGCATCTTTGGGGGGCCAGGGCCAAATACTATGGTCCTAATGTAATATAATGTTAATAGACTTAATCCTGGTTCTTAAGGATTGTTAAACCCGGGTTATAATGTTCAAGTTGAGAAATGATAAGAATAATGTCTTTGAAACAGGAAACGGGTTTAAAGAAAAGTATCTGGTTGCCAAGTTGACAAGGGGTGGATTGTTACGGTTGATACATTGTGTCAACTTGAATCTAGAAGCTTAACTAAGTAATTCAGCAGTTTTATATCCTGGAGTGAAAAGGACATGACCTTATCTCTCTAGTATGTTGTTCATTGTGTCAACTCCAGAAGTTTAGAAGGTTAACTAAGAGACACAAGAGGGAGCCAGGGCACTTACTCTGTAAACATCTTCATCCTGTGCAAGAGGAGGGCGTGAAGATTGTGTGAGCGACACCCACCGAAGCGGGTGGTAGCCTGCTCACAGTATAAGGCTGGAAAAGAGGCTTGCTCCCCCACTTTTGCTCTTGCTGCTTTTGCTGTCTTCTGCTGTCTTGAAGTGTTGCCCCGATGCCATGCCAACCTGCCTTGGAGCCAGCTGATTATAGACTGAAACCTCCACAAACTGTGAGCTAAATAAACCCTTCCTTCCTTAATTTTGGTTGTCGGGTATTTTGTCTCAGCAACAAAAAAAAGTAACTAAGGCACTAAGGAAATATATTTTGGGGTGGCCTATTTTGATTTCTCTCAAGGACAAAGATCTACTTTTTCTTTAGCTTTTCCCTCACTAGCCACACCCACAGGTTGCACAATAAGTTTTGAATGAATAATGATACTGTTCTTGATGTTTGATCTAATCATCTGTTTTGCTTACATAACTAGGTACAGAGAAAGGGACCTATTTTTATTTAGCATGCTCGTGGCAGAAGCATTTGGGAATCAGAAGATGTTAGATTGGAAGACCTGGATTCTAAAGTAGCTCTGTCCTGCTAGTAAGAGCAACTCTTCTGAAAATTTCCTAATCTCTGCAAGACTCAACTTCTCCATCTGCAACACAGAGCACTGGGTTTCACCCCTCAGGCACTTAGCACCATGTACACTGTAAAGGGCCGGCCTCTGTGCACTGCCACGGTCACCTTTGTCGTGCTGAACACAGCTGCGTCGAGAGTATTTTTGAAGCCTGGACTATGAGGTGTTTTTCTTAATGTGAAGAATTTAATACGTTGTGAGACACTTTCCTTTGCAATTTGTTGGGTATTATGATTGAGTAATGTTAGTGTGTG